TACAGTTATAGCATCTTCATCATATTTTCAATAAACAGTGTTTTACTCCATGTGCAGTCTTATATTTCAGCTCCATAAAACCAATTTCATTACATTACATTCAGTGCGTCTGCGTACATCGCGGTGCGTACATATTTTGGTCCTTCGAGCCGGATTTGTTCTGTGAGAGGGAAGTGATCCCATTACTTGTTGGTTTGTTGTAGGCCTGGCCTTGAAATAAATGATACACTGATGGACGATTCGACGAACAAGGTTTCTTGCTCCTAGGGGCCAATATTTTTGACGTATCGATGCTAGTAGAGCTTGAGGTCCAGCGTGTAACTGGCATATGTGTTCGTTGATGGCAATTAGATCGGTAAGGTGTGACTGTTTAGGAAGAACAATAGGATGTTTTGTACTGTATCCCATGTCTGCGTGATTGAGTCGGCCCCCAACTCGTATTAGCCCACTTGAATCTATGAAGGGACTCAGAATTTTTAATTTGCTCTTTCGTGGAATAGGTTGATTGTGGATTAAGCATGAAAGTTCTTTGGAGAAGAAAAATGCTTGCTCTGTGCGGAGTAGTTTTTGTGATGCCGATGACAGTTCCTTGGGATCTAGTGGACCAACCAGCCTTGCAGAAGGTACTTTACAATTGTGTACAAATCTGAGACAAAATGCTACGACTCTTAGAATTTTCTGGTAACTAGAATTCAAAATATGTACGCACCGCGATGTACGCAGACGCACTGAATGTAATGAAATGTGTAATGTAATGAAATTGGTTTTATGGAGCTGAAATATAAGACTGCACATGGAGTAAAACACTGTTTATTGAAAATATGATGAAGATGCTATAACTGTACATATGATAATGAATAAATGAAAATATGTAACATGAAACTTGAAATGTAAACTTGATTGAGATATGTTAAATGAATGAAATTGTAATGCTTGAAAATGACTACCGACGCGACCGAACGTTGGTGCCTTACTGACGACCTGTGCCACTCACACCCCCGAAGCCCAGGGGTGGGGACGACACTTGCCGTTTTGGCGCGAACACGGACCATCAACACAAATCATTTTTACTGCTTTAAAAATGTTATGATACTGTTGAAGATATTAATTTTAAACTCTACATTCATTCTTTATAGCTATCTCTACTCTTCTGTTATTAAAATGATCGATGAAAGATTGCGTTGTGAGGTCAGCGGCCGGTAGACCACCGCGAAACAGACCGCTCGTGCCCGGACGACAGATTTGGAGGGAACCGATGTATTAAGTCATCCAGCTGATAATAATTAAGCAAACAGCTGATCTGCGGATATCGAGACCACCGTTATTATCGTAACCACCGGGCCTGGCTAACCCGTGTAGGGATCACCGTAACTAGGCGTATTATAATGCGATTAAATGGCCGCTCATACCCATTAGGTCCGGACCGGTGATTTGTAACCGAAAATGTTGTAGCTTAGCTGTACTTGGTTGATCACTCGTATTAGTGATGAGGTTGATTGATTTAGTAATTTAATGTTTTTTGACATTTTCGACGTTATTGGGAAGGTATAAGTTATAGTGGTTGTAAAAAGTTGATTGATAAATGTTAGGAAATCTCGAGGTTATGGTTGTGATGATAGTAGACAAGTATAGGATCTAATATTTAAGTTTATATAATTTTAAACATTTAGCTGACTATGTAATACCCGTAAATATTTTTTTATTTTATACCATACAATATTTTAAGCTACATAGTAACACATTTAGTTAAAGTATGGTCAATTAGTTTCCAAGTTGCATGGCTACAAAAAAAATACATGATCCGTAAATTTACAGTTATAATAACATCTTGCATCTATCATTTTGTGAAAGTTAGAGCACATGAAAATTTTAGGGATTGTATTTTAAATTGTCAGTTTGTACTATTCAAATACTAGCCGTCTCTATTGACCGTACGGCAATACTTTATAGCTTACATTTCATTATTATCAAGCATGCTTTAAGTTAAGGCAGGTTACATTTTCTGATTTTAAAAACTTGCTGGACAAATGGAAATCGCACACGTATAAATTAATAAATATAACGAATAACCAACTCACTAACACTAGATCCACAATGCTACCTGCTTACTTCTAAATGCACTAACATTTCAGTACGAGTACTGATTCGCGTCTATGTTTATTTAGTTACATTTTTACAGGTGTTTTGGAAGATCTAACATTTGTTAACAAAGATCAATGAAAATATTTCAGTTCACATAACGGGTTACGTGCAAATATCAGGTTATGGCTAGGCTGCACAGCAGAGCTTCATGTTATGAGATCCATTACATGTTGCTGCACCATGTATCATGCAACCTTGCTTCTCTTGACGTGCTGTACGGATAAACTAGCAGTTCGGATTACAATTTTAATCCTATAGCTAGCTGTAAGTGACTAACTACATCATGCATAATGTGTACATATATCATTAAAACTATAACTATTCCACTTGTTGACAAAAGGTTAGAGGTAAAAATATTAATTAAAATCCCTTTTTGTGTTTTCGAATTAAATCTCTGGTCTTCAAGTTTTGTACAACAGCAAAGTGTAGTTAACAAACTGGCTTGATGGAGGATAGAATTTAGTAGGTCGTGTTGGTTTTCGTAAAGATTATGATAATTTCAGAACCAGGTGTCTACTAGTCTACAGCTGGGTTAATAGATCATCTGATTAGTCACATATGATGTCACAAACTACAGCTGATCGACAGCTAATTAGCATAATAGTCGAAAATTGATCTATCAGTTATAGTAATGGAAATAAATTTTGAATTCTCTGTCTTGGTAGTTTTAGACGTGCGATTTAATTATTGTTATTTTTAATAGTTTTCTATTAAATGATTTTAAAATGCTTAATCATTGTTTCTTACTGTTGGTTGAGTAAAAGCCGGTATTCTATAATTTTTTGTAACCTTTACTAGCCGTATTCATGGGTAGGTGTCAAAGGCTTGTACTTATTAGAAATCACAGGCTAGGTAGTTAAGGCAGCAGGATATCATCGGATATAATCAACAACGATTTTTGCAAGCAGTCAAATAACACATTAAATCTACTTGGAAAATACACTGACAAAAATTTTAAAATTTTTAGATTTTATAAACTAAACATATAATTCTTTAATGTATTTTCTTTAATGTACCTTCGATTCTTCTTTTAGGTAAGACTACGGTAATTAAATAAGAAACGACCGCTATGTATGACTTCCTCAGTCATTTATCATATTTTCCCCCAAAATTTACCTTCGAACCTACATCTCTTGGTCACTGACCTGCATGCAATGTGAAAGGGATAGTTCTTGAGGCCACATATCAAGTTTTTTCCAAAGCCGATATCATATTTCTAATTATGCAAGCATATTTACATGCTACCTTATGGAAACTTGATATCTTTACCGCACGCTCAAAAAACTTACCTCTAGACAGACTCGAAAGCCAGTCTCGGTTGAGGTAGGACTTTCAATAATATTTTATAAATTATATCAATTAAAAGATTAATTATTCATCGCATGGATTTCACTGGACTCTTCAATATGGAGAGACCCATTTCCATCACTAAAGACACCTGTCGTTCTTGGTTTTCTAGATGATCTAGAGCTCAAGGTTGGATTCGAACCCCCGGGCATTGTCAGATGGAGTCGATTTAAATTGTGTGATTGGTTGAATTTATCTTTGTCCTCAAGATAGAAGTTCGTCGTTATAGTTTTGTAATACTTGTAAGATTTTGTAAGACTACGAAAAATTGACGAAAAGAATCGACTCGAGTGTTTATATAAAAGGTTGTTTTCTAAATTAAGACTGGAATAGGAAAATAATAAATATATTTTACACGACTATAGCTTATAGTGTTCTTCTAGCTTTAAAATATACAGATTTAATGAAATATTTGATGAAAGAAAGGTTTTAAATTGTTGTTTTTGCTCAAGCAAACTATTGAGGTACTCACCGAAAATTAATATATGCACTGCAACACTTAATATATTTGACATCCACTTTACGATCTACCCATACTGTATATTCAATACACAGTATATAAAATTCCCCAAATTGAAAACATCCACTGTATAATACATAAATCACACCACCAAAATCCATTCCCACTAACCACCTTCATAAACACTCCCAGACTATTTATACCCGTTTGTGACTTATTTACCGACTATTACCCACAGATTACGGCGGCGCGGTTAATCGCGCGTAAACCGCACAGCTTGGCGGGTAATTTACTCAGCTGGGAATCAGCTGATTTACTCACAACATGAGTGTGGAAATTATAGAAGACAGTCCTGAGTCCTGAGAAGCCTCGCACGCAGCGCCGGGTAAAGTATTCTAGCCTCTCACAGGGTGTGTCCTGTCCTGGTTTCTACATCAATTAGGACTTAATTTTCAGCTTGGTCTGGTTACGCCCGTACACCAGATGGGTAATAGTAAATAGTAATGGTAATGGTTGGTGACCCAACTCTTTCATTACTCAACATTACGTGGTCTATACATTGTTGTTAAAGATTATGTGTCTAACTAGGATATTATGTTTTATTTTCATTGTTTTCTGCATTCAAATGTATTGGCGCTGAACACAAAATATTAATTTAGTCAATAGTTTTTCGTCGTAATCAGTTCCACAGAAAGAATTGATTGACCAACGATCCGATTACTTTTTCAGTTGTCAAGAGCTTGTTTGCACTCCTGGTAGGGTTAATTTAAGGGTTACTATGATTCTTAATTTCACGCAGTTCTTACTTGCTAAATTAGTGTTACACAAACATGCAGTAAATACTGTAGTTATAACCATCGATGTATAACCTATACATCGATGGTTATAACAGATAAGTATAAGAGATTAGATAATTTATTGATTCATATAACGTGTTTAAATCTTGGTTATTCGTTAGTAAGTTAAAACACATAAGTTAAGGTTTAAGGATAGTGTTGTGTAAAAGGAAAATAGAATACTTTTATAGGCTAGAACAAAATGAGGTACATGCCTTTTGTTTTGAATCTTATGCGGTTCCCTGAAACAAAACAATAAAATCAATATTATATCAAACAAAACTAAAAATACAAAATAACAAAAATGTACTCTTACTAAAATAAAACAGCCATTTATCAATTACTTTACTAAAACTATATGTTTTTTATCAGCCGAATAAGTTTAGGTACTTTGATAAAACTTACTATTTATTATGTCAACTAAATTGTCAATTGGGTTTGAAGATGTGGCTAAGACTATCAAATAATCATATAGTCCCGAAAGCGGATTTAATAGCATATCTAATAGCAGTGAATTTGTTTGACATGACATTTCAAACATTCTTTCGGCGGAGTGAAACTTTCTATAACTATTTTTATACATTTAAAAACCGAACTACACCGAACATTTTTTCTTCTCGTTTCACAGAAAGCTGGAAAATACAAAAATTTTTTTAGACAATATACGCCAAACCTCAAACCGCTGTTGGAGTTGAAAGAATCTCTGTTTCTCGTCAGTATTTCTGAGACATTACAAAGATGCGCCTTCAGTACGGCGCCCAAGGCGTAGCGCGTGGCCAAGTTACGCCCGCTTTCTACGCCCCGGGCGGAGCGCCGCATCATAATCAGTTTTTAATGACGCCCAAGCTAGCTTTTAATTCCATTAGGCACGGTTCCGAAGTCGCTGAAAGTGCGATAGTCTACCACGTGATTGTCAATTATTCGACCCCATCTTCCCGCCAAACTTGCCAACTTGTCTGACAACTTGGCGCCTTGGCGGGAAAGTGTTGCGTAGAGAGGGTGTTTAAAAGTGTGTTATCTATCTTCTATATATTAATAGGCAAGCATGTTTCTTTAAAACCTTTTTTCTCAGCTCGTGTGCATCGTAGGGAAAATCTACGCATACCGTTGGAAAGCTATTTTCCTGTAGGTGTGCAGAATCCCTTTATAAATTTAAATAGGCTCAAAGATAAGCACAAAAAATGAGTTTAAAAATTTGAAAAAATTAACATGGATCTTATGCGTTGCTATGCTGGTTACGAAATAACAACGAAATATAAACAGAAAATCAAAACAAATGGAGGAAACTCCAATCACATGTTTTATTTACAGTGTGGGGTGAAAATAGATAAGTGAGTACATTACATATTTTTGGTCGAGTTTCGACCACTGGACGACCTCTCGTAGTGTTTAATACGCACGATGTAGAAAGTACGGTTTATAAGTTTCCAAGTATTCTATTTCTGTCAGCTACCTATCAATAAGTTTATTTGGTATAATTGTGAATATTAAATTAGACAGCGATATATTTTAGGTTGTGCGCTGATGTGTTATACATTTTTTTACCACACTACGATGTTTTTAGCCATTTTAGAAACGTTTATTGGAGGCCGAAAGCTACGTATTGCTGTCCATGCCAGCTGTCATCGTTATGTGGGGATTAAGTTTGTACATCCCTAGGGTCGAAAACCAGCTTATTTACTTAAAACATTAATGTATATTAAATACACAAGCAGTATCCATGTGCATTGTAATATACTTGTTTTATTGTCACCGCTGCCTAGGCAACTATTTATTGTTAGTTTTGCTGACTCCTCGAAATATTTCGCACAACCTTAAAGTTGTAAATGTGTTGACTGTTAATTTGAATTATTATTGTAACAAATAGTGATAATAGAGTACATAGTGTGGACAGTGTGGTGAAAAATGCCGTTCATACTACAGGCCAAAAATGGTTTTGCAGCTCTCGATCGTTGTTCTCGATATCGTCTCGAGCTCATGACCCGATCTCGAGCTGGCAAAACCTCATTTTCGGCCCTAGGTACGAAATATACTATTACGAGTAAAATTGTGTCAAACAAAATATAACATACCATGTAGATGTATTGTGTAATAACAATGATGCACAAACCCTAAAAATATAAACAACGCATTATTATTCATTTTTCAGTTGTGTTTCAAAGTTATACTTTTAGAGAAAAAAGGACAATTATTGACTAATTATACTACTACACAAATAATAAGAACCGTTTCTTGTTGGTTGGTCGGCATCGATCAATCTGAAAATACCGTAGTAAAATATTGATTTAACAATATTCGAAACTGTTGTAATCTCTATAGAGAGTTCACTTGTTAATTTTTGTGTAAATAAAATATACATAACAGCCAAGTTTAGCTGTAAATACACGATCTACCCTAATGATTGAACTTTATTATGTCTGAAAAATTCTAATACCACTAATTAAATCAACAAATTCCTTTTCAATTTCAAAGACATTTAAAATCTTTCTCTAAAACATGAGAAACTCCCGGAGCCTCATCTATGTTCCCGCGGTTCCACACGTCTTACACCAATTACCCTCGAATTTTCCACCGAGCGTGCCGCAATTAATACTTTTCATTACCTATCGATTACAGCGACTAATCTCTGGATCGATATTTGATTCATTTTAATTGCGAGTCTCGTATCGAAACCACGTTCGCTATTCGATACGCCTCAATCACTCCCAATTGGTTTATACGATGGCGAGATAAGCTGGAGTGTGTTTAGATGAAGTACGAGCTTTGCCGCCAGAACCACATACAAATGGCGGGTAATGCGGTTAATTTAATTGACCACTGCTGTGTTATAGTAACAAACTCCAATGAACTCAGGTTTATGGTTGTATTTTGTATTGAGCGATCAACTTGGATATGTTTTAAATTGCTTATACTGTGGTATACTGGTTTTTATAGACTCTCGATGTATGTTATATTGACTATAATATACACTGACGGATGTATCGTATGGACATTATTACACAAAAAATTGTGTTTTATAAAACATGCAGTATGTAAGGGTAAACTTGCTAGCTACTGTACCCGTGCTTTGCAACGGGAAGAAGACTTGAAAGAGAATTTGTTCTTTGAATCTGTTGTACAAAATAGTTACACACCCGTCAACCGTTAAAAACAAAACTCAACCATACCGCTTCATTTGACAAAGGTTTGTGGCTTTTAATGTAGGCGATTAATGTAAACTGCCATTTCGGTTTGTTATAATTTTAAATCTTGTATCTTGTAATGTGAGACAATCCTACAAAATTTTCTAATAACATTTTTTCATATAATTCATTTACCTTCGTCTCCCTTCTTTCCTATCTGTTTCCTTTTTTGGTATTTTGGATTTCAATCTTGAAGTTTCAAAACTACTGATATTTAATTTAAATAAACAATGCCGGGTTAAAATATACTGGATCATCTCTTGCTTGGTTTCGTACCTGCCACACAATGAATCTAGTTTTATGTTGACAAAGAGACCAATTTTTTTTTAAGTTAGAACGTTGGACTTTGTCCTACTTTGATGCCCGCGTTCAAATCTCCCAAGCCTCAAATTATTTTTACATGACAATATTCCGAGACCCGATAGGCCAAAGTTAGTAGTTACCGATTCTCCAACGGAAACCAAGTATTATCTCTCTTAGACAAAATCATATTCTCTATATTAGATCACTTTTCCTGTTAGAAGCTAAACGACTTCTCTATACTATCAGAGATACTGATTTTTAAACATTACACATTCAGTTTGGAGTCAATAAAAGATCATTGGAATTGACGAATTGATTATACAGTTTGGAACCGACTTAGTGATAGACTTCCAGAGCTGGCACAGTAGACTCGTGTCTCCAAGTTGGATAATCTCCTCCAATAGTGTTTGATGCGACGAGTCGGTGACACTCTATATTCTACCAGAACCGCTCCGTAATTGGCATCTTGGGACAAATACGCCCAGTTTTTGTGTCTAGACTGTAGACGAAGAGTTGACTGCTGTGTCTAGAATCTGTTATTAGTCTGCAACAGGTCTAGTCGGACTCGCCATACATTTTAATTGTGCAATGAGTTCGTAAGAAGTGAAGTTACTCGGGGAACTGGAATGAATCAATTTTCTTTTTTGGCGGAGTAACTTATAGCTGTTCATACTCGTGACGGTGACATGTGAACTGTCCTTAATTGTAGAGTAGAGAAACAGAAAAGAATTTTAGAGGGAAAATAATCTGACATTACTTCAGGAGTAAGAAAATGATGAATGTAATATTCATGTTAATCTCTTCCAAAACATGTTCTACAACTGTAATTTTGTAAAAGAATTTTCAAAAACAACTGTAGGCTCTTATTGAATAGCATTGATTAGTTATTGACTTATTTTTGTTCAACATGTACAAATTCGATTCTGAAATATAATTAAATTTAAATTCATACATCCAAATGGTTTTTATCAAGCCTAATAAGCAAAATCAGTTCCTCAGTACCATTCCTAATGTGAAGATCGCTTTGTGTAGCCCTACAATAGTTAGTTAGCAGTGGTGACCAGCAATGTCAATGCAATAATTTTTAAAACAGTTATCTTCATCTAAAACATTATCATTTCGAAGCGAATTCATCTCAAATTAGTATATTCTTTGAATGTTATTATCACAGTTTAAACCTTTCTCGTATATAACACAATAACTTGCAAAATTAAAACACTTTTTACAATTTTTTTTCACCACAGTGGTCTCACCCCAAATATTTTTCACTCACTATTCCGTCAAAGTCTTCCATTCCGTTCCTTCATTAATTTCACTGCATGATTCACAACTAGATTCACTAGATTCACAACTAATCTACAGAGATATAAAAAAGTTCAAATAATAAAAAAAAATTATGCGCTGATAACACTACTATTTTAGTTTTCACTCGCCTACGACCTCGCCTAAAATATATTCTACACATTATACCAACACCGTCAAATATACCATTCCCTCATCGCATACAATGGCGTTTTCCAAAACCCACACTGAGCAAATAATGCAGTTGGGTGAATTTCAGCTGATTAATTATGTATTCCGATAAAGTACAGACGAGTACGCGGTACCTACGCCCGATATCTGACCTTTAGAAGCCTCGCCTTGTGGCCCGGACTGTTATTATGACGTATTGATTAGAAAGGCCTCGAGGCTTGAGGCCCGCTCTCGCTGTGGCCTCTCGAGGCGAAGCCTGAGGCTCGTATTCCCATTCCCGCCAG